CACCCCCCCACCCACCCCCCCGACTGTGTGGTCTCCCATCAGTCAATTCTCACAGTCTGGTGTATTTGACCTGTTTCATCAGCTCATTAATAATTAAGGCTTTGCAGTTTTTTTTTTTTGTTTTTTTTCTAGATCCTTTCGTCCATCAGCTTCTGCTCACTATGGTTGTTTGTCTCTCTCTCTGTGGCGTCTCGTTTTTATCGGAGTCATTAGTGGAGCTGTGGAAACCTGACCCCGGAAAAAAGTCAGACGAATATTTTTGATCTGGGTTCACTCTTAGTTCAGATATTCCACCTCTGACCTCTGACCTCAGATCAGATCAGACACTGCTCAGTTAAAGGCCTCAGAGCAGCAACGTCAACACGATGAAGTCAAACAGTAATAAAGGAGCAGAGAAGAAGATCTGCGACGCTTCATCAAACTGTGACACTTTCGTGTTTCCAGTCTGTAGCTCTAATATAAACACAGTCAGTAATCTGAGCTCCATGGAGTCAGATTAGGATTATCAGACTGTTCCCCCAACACTTCTCAGAATATTTGTCCATAAATGACCATAAATGACCAACTGTGCGTCGATCACTACCCCCCCCCGCCACCGCCCCCCTTTTCCTCTTAGCCTGCTCCTCCCCTCCTTCTCCCCCTCCCTGCTCTTTCTGCTCCCTCAATGTGTAATCCTGCAGATTAGATTATGTTCATATTATACTAAAACCTTATTAGAGTTTTTTTTTTTTTGCAGCTCACTCTGAATCTGCTCTTTCACATCTGCTTGTGCGCGTAGATCTCTCTCTCTCCCTCTCTCTCTCTTTCTCCCTCTCTCTCTCTCTCTGTCTCTCTGTCCCTCTGTCTCTGCTGTGTCACTGTAACACCGTGTGTGTCACTGTAACACCGTGTGTGTTTGTTGTTGTAGGTAATGGACTGAACTCTGCACACAACGGCGAGAGAAACAGTCCTGCAGAAAGACAGTCCACTATGNNNNACACGGAAAGAGAAGAAGGACGTTCCGGTGAGTGGGCCGGGCTCCGTACCAGGAAGTTGATGATGATATTTAAAAAAAAAAAATCATGTTTATAAATTCACTGTGACCTTTGACCTCTAGATGCCCATCAGTAACGGTCTTCCTCCTACACCTAAAGTCCACGTGAGTAACAGCTGATGATTTCATAACCTTTCTGCTGGTACGACTGGTTTTTGACTGACTTCGTCTCCTGGTTCCTCACGTTCACAGATGGGAGCGTGTTTCTCTAAGGTCTTCAACGGCTGCCCACTGAAGATCCACTGTGCTACGTCCTGGATCAACCCTGACACCAGAGGTAAGCCGTCCTCCGGTGACCTCCTGACCTTCTCTGGTCCGACTGGTTTCTTGGTTTGACGGTCTTTGTCCGTTGGTTCTTCCTGTGTTTCAGACCAGTATTTGATATTTGGAGCCGAGGAGGGGATCTACACGTTAAACCTCAACGAGCTTCACGAGACCACAATGGAACAGGTGACAACAAAGATGCTAACTGTGTGCTAATGTTGGGAGGGGTTCATAAATGTTCATCTGATAGTTGTGGTGTCTGTACCAGGACTGTTGTAGCTAATTGTTAGCGCTGTTGTCCTCACCATGACTCTAGTAGCTAATTGTTAGCTCTGGTGTTTAACTGTAGCTAATGTTAGCTTTGGTATCTAATGGTTGAAGCTGTTGTTAGCTCGTGTGTCTGACTGTTGTAGCTAATGTTAGCTTTATGTTAGCTCTGATGTCTGTAGCAGGACTGTTGTAAAAAACGTTAGCTCTCTTAGCTTAGCTCTTAGCTTTGACCTCAAATGTTGATTTCCTTCCTTCCTGTGCAGCTCTTCCCGCGGCGGTGTACCTGGTTATATGTCATGAACAGTTGTCTTCTCTCCATATCTGGTAAGCTCTTGGGTTTTTATTTCCTCTAAAGGGTTTAAGGAGTTTTCTTTACATTTTGGGTCAATTATTATGTCTCTCCATCTTGTCCCCGTCCAGGGAAGGCCTCCCAGCTGTACTCCCACAGTCTGGGCGGTCTCTTTGAACAGGCCAGACAGCTGCAGAAGTTACCAGTGTCCATTCCCACACACAAGCTGCCTGATAAGATCATCCCCAGGTAACTGAAACTTCACCTGTTTTTTTACTGAGGTCATGTGATTTGTCACTAAACTACAAACATTGTCGTCTGTAGGAAGTTCGCTGTGTCCAATAAAATCCCAGATACTAAAGGATGTCAAAAGTGCTGCGTAGGTGAGTGACGCTGACGACGGATTAAGAAAAACAAAACAAAACAAACATCCTCTGTTTATTTAACGTGTTTTTATTGTCACAGTGCGTAATCCATACACGGGTCATAAGTATCTGTGTGGAGCCTTCCAGTCCAGTGTGATGCTGTTGGAGTGGGTGGAGTCTATGCAGAAGTTCATGCTCATTAAGGTCAGTCTTTTTTTCCCACATTGCAGTCACTAACTCTCAGAGTTTTCTTCACTTGAACTCCTTCTTCTTCTTCTTCTTCTTCTCTCGGCAGAACATCGACTTCCCTCTGCCGTGTCCCCTGGAGGTCTTTGAGATGTTGGTGGTCCCTGAGCACACGTACCCTCTCATCTGCGTGGCCGTCAGTAAAGGCTCGGAACTCAACCAGGTGGTGAAGTTTGACACCGTCAACCCCAACGCCACCTGCTCCTGGTTCACAGAGACAGGTAAGAAAACTGAGTCCTGAAATGTTGTTGTCGTTGATGTGGAGACGGATGAAGACGTTTGTGCTGATGTTTAAACGTCCACCTCCGTCCACAGAGACACCACAGACCTGTGTGATCCACGTCACTCAGCTGGAGAGGGACACCATCTTAGTGTGTCTGGACAGTAAGTCTCACTGACACACACACACACACCCCTCCCTATCTTCCTTCCTTCCTCCCTCCCTTCCTCCCTCCCTATCTTCCTTCCTCCCTCCCT